CTAGATACCTTTAAATACTTGGCCTTTGATCTCCTCCAAATGAAGTTGCTCTATTCATTAGCGGGATGAATAGTGTACTTTATTAGATGTGAATGTCATTTTCTACCAGGGCTGACTCAGAGCACAAGCAAATCATGAATGCAGCACTCTCCCTAACTTTACCAAACCCTTTCAACACCTCAGTTATCCCCAGGAAACTTGTAGTTTGCCACTCCAGCGTCTCTGAAGCTGTAAGATTTTCAGTTCTAGATGAATGTTACCAAATTTAATGGAATTACTTGTACAGTTTGTACTGCTTTGTTTTTACATGCTTTATCTTTTTGTATGAATTACTGTAGCAGTCTTTAGAAAAGTAATTTAAAATTTAGTTTGCTATTATAATGAGTTATTATTATGACTGATTCTAAAGGGGCTGCTACTCTGCATACTAATTAAATTCAATTACTTTTTATGCTATTGATAAGCTATTTCCCCTAATAACATTAGGCCTCTTGTGATAGAGATATCTTTTTTTCTCAGTGTTCTGTTTCAGTTGACTATTTTCAGGTACTAGTCTTTCACAAAACCAGGGAGAGATATAATTCAGCTGTAAATAGACTGTGAGCTGAACGGTATTATTGTGAACAAAAGAAATCTTGAAGAGGGGTGTGTGGTACAGAAAGAATCATATGCACAGAGATGATGATTATAACACTAAATCTGGCTCTACCAAGAAACAGGAATTTTATGAGCAGTTAGAATGAAACTTGCTTGACTACAGACCTGTGCATCTGAACTGGTTCTCTTGAAGAGATTTCTTGGTATCTGTGACTCATCCCCCAGACCTTTTTTCCATGAAAGTGAACTAAGGTCACTGGTGTTTACCTACTATCTGGTCTTGTTTCATGTTGAAATGTAGCATGCTTGATGCACCTGTGACTAACTGCCACCTTTCATCAAAAATATTTGGTGGGTTCAAAAGCAGTGGGAGGATAGATAACAAGACAAACACAAGCACATCAGAGTTGTACAAATCTTGCTTTGTCAAAAAACAGGCTAAAGATGATCGTGTGAAGAACGAGAAGGAGTTTTTACACTGTGAGCCAGAGCTACAGTTCTGCTGCCCATGCTTAAATTAATCTCTTATTATTTACCTACACAAGCAAAATATCATTAAGATTTGATATTTTATCTGTGGGTACTTAGAAGCTTACAGTATTTGGCTTGAATGCATTATAATAACAGTGCACTAATATTTTAATTTACAAAGCTCCAAAATTCACTTTACAAACGTTAACTCTCCAATCATTTGTCTAGTCACTCTGGTTGTATCATTCTATTTGGAGCAATATCATGAAAGTATTGCAGCCCTTCATTTGGGAGACCTTGTAGCTGTGAAAAAGGTGCTTTAAGGGTTGTACTTCTCTGTTAAAAGGGGAGACTTTTAGGAGAGTACATAGCATAACTGGTAAATACATTTGATATGGTTATGTCCTGAGTTTTAGATGCCACAGAATCCTTCTCCTGCTGCGCATCAAGGAGAGAAATTATTTTCTGAACATAGTCATGTAATTTTAATTCTCTGCCCCAGCTTGGCCAGATAACAAATGCTTGTGAAGAAAGGAACAGAACTCAGATAAAAGATGTTTTAAATTAGGCCAACTGTGTCTTTTAGCACCTGTAGTAGCAAGCAAATAAGCTGTAACTTCAGGAGACTCTGGAAATCTTATTCAAGCCAACTATTGCTTTAGAAAGGCAGGTTGCTGTACAGTGCTCAGCAGTCTGAAGTTGGTGGCTGAAGTTTCACAAGTACTTGTCTCACTTTTTGAATCCAAGCAATAGTGAGCTCAACATGGTACAAGCAAAAATACCACAACCTAAGAGATTGAAAGACCCAATACGATGGTTCCTCGCAAAGAAGGCTTGGATAGCATTCATTCTCTCTCTCCACGCAGTGGGGTACAAAGAGGATGACTGTAAGGCAGAGACAGACACCTTTTAAAGTGGGTTTGAAATCTCTAATGTTCCAATAGCTACTAGTTAATTTAACTGGAAAAGGACAACTGACACTGTATTAGGGGAATTTCAAGAATCCCAAATGTTTGTTCGTTTTTCTAAACTGAGAAAAATAAAATGAAAATATGGAAGGCTGATGTAAGGTTGAAGACTCAGTCTTGTCAGTTTGGAGTATTTATTGAGCCCATTGTAAGACACTAAATCATAATAAAAAATTGAGGCCAAATGCTTGGAAAAGATGGCTTCAGGGCACAGAGTTAGCCCTTGTTTGAGGTGTAAGGAGAGAGGAGGAAGCAGATCTGTGGTACTGTCAAATGTAAATCATTATATCACAGAGAAATGCAGTTTGGGTAGAATGGGCTTCCCAGCTGGCCTCACAAATGCCAGCAGAGGGATGTGTACACACTGCTATAAACAAAGTAGTACTGTGTTTAAAAAAAAAGATGCTAATAGCTGAGTGAAATATGCCACTTGGGAAGCACATGTAGCGTGTGAGCAAAAAAAAAAAAGCGATGAGAAGATTAGCTCAGAGAGGTTCAGTAGACAGCCAGAAGTTAGTATCACAGCTCAAGATGCATGGATTAGCAGTCCAAAAGCAGCTTGAGTGTTCATGATGTTTAAGCTGAGCACTGGTGCATGATCAAACACGATGCCAAAACCATGGACAAGCCTGAGAGCTTACAGTGGTCATTATACATCTAGAGAGGTAGTTCAGCTGCAATTTGGAAAGATACAAATTGAAATAATGCCCAGGGTAGGAGGGGAAAGTAATGCTTGTTGAGTTAGAAAACATGTCAAGGTACAGAGCTGATCAGGGTTCAGCATCCATTGGAGCATGCTTAAATGTCTTGTGGGGAATTTGCAGATTTTTGGAAAGTGTGCTGGTTTTGACTAGGATAATTTTTTTCAATAGTAGCTTGAATGGAGCTCTCTTTTGGATTTTTACTAAGAAGAGTGTTTATAATACAGGGATGTTTTTCTTATTGCTGAGCAACATTTACACAGTCAAGGCATTTCCTGCCTCTCCTCCCACCCCACCAGGGATTGTGTTTGGGGTGAACAAGAATTTGTGAGGGGGTACGGCTGGGACAGCTGACCCCCAGTGACCAAAGGGATATTTCCTACCACATATGGTGTCATGTTCAGCATATAAAACTGGTGGAAGAAAAAGGAAGGGACAAGGTTCGGAGCGATGGTGTTTTGTCTTCCCAAGTAACTGTTACATATGATGGAGCTCTGCTTTCCTGCAGATGACTGAACTCCTGACTGCTTTACCTATTAAACTGTCTTTGTCTCAACCCAGGAGGTTTTTTCACTTTTCTGATTCTCTCCCCCATCTCAATGGGGTGGAGTTAACGAGCAACTGTGTGAGGCTTAGCTGCTGGCTGGGGTTGAACCACAACTTAAGACTTGGTGAAAGATTCAAGAGAGACTTTTTTTTTTTTTTTTGGAAAGAGTATGATTGCTACTTTCCTTTTCTTGATATATCAGCATGTCTCTAGAGCATACTGTCTGGTGGGAGATTGCTTCTCCAGGCACTTGAATGCATCTTATCATGAAGATTCAGTCTCTGTAAAAGGCATTTGGATCAAGGGAAAAATGCTACTGAAGTGTGACTTGGTTCTCTTTGCAGTCCTGAAGAGAATTAGGCTGGCTAGAAGAAAGTTAAGCAATTATGCAAGTCCATATAACAGGAATAACACACATGGGAGAGAAATTAACACCGAGGTGCTAGGAAAGGAAGCTATCCCAGCTAGCAAGGAAGAAATACAAAGAATTATTCAAGTTGTGTACTGTGGAGGGGAATTTGTGCTCAATCTGACTGTCTAAATAACCAAACCTGGGGTTCCTGTAAGAAAGTCCAATATGCAGAAGAGGCCAATAAAGAATTTGAGACATTTGGCCTTTGTCACTTTGCAAAGCTGAATCAGTGCTTTTGAAATAATTTTGTTAAAAATCTGTATTGAAATCTTCTTGTTAGCTTGATCTATGAACATTCAGAATTCTGTATGATATTATTGAAAGTCATCCCCGTATTTGGTTAAGAAAGGACCACACAGAGAAATACATTTTAAAAGTTTCTTAAACAAGCCAGGTAAAATGGGTCATTACATTTCACAGCTCATCTTACACAGTGCTGATTAGTCACAGCTCAGGCAGAGGAGAGAGCAAACCTTCCTCACAGTCCTTGTCTCAGAGTGAGTGCTGAGCAGTGCGTGGTGCACAGCTGGTGTCAGCACCTCGGTGCTTTTATCGAAAGTCTTGCATCTGTTCGTGCTTTTAAAGTAATAAAAAAAGAAGCAAAGCATCTTTTATATATTTTAAATTGGAAATAAGATCAAATGGTGATGTTAATCGAGATTTCATTACAGCAATACTGAGCATCTGTCCAGATCTGTCCTTAACCTATATGGGCTTGTGTGTAATAAGGCAAATTAAGATCATATTTAAGGGAATTTCCCACCCTCATCTTACCACAGAGCTGATAGCCCTTAGCAACACAGATCAGAACACTAATCAAGATGATGTTCTGTTGAGATGATTGCATAGTTGATAAATAGGAATAACTTCATGTGCACATCCTCTTTCTCAGAAACAGAGCAGCAGCTTTTACATTCTGTTCTATTTCCACACCTTGCAAACATATTCAGTATGACATGTTTTATTGGACATGTGGCACTCTTAGACCAGAACTGGGTAGTAATTTGTATGTGTCTGTAGCTGCAAATAAACTTCACTTCTCTTAGTCTCACCTCTGAAATCTTTGAGGTCTTATTCTTGTAAGAGCCCCACACTGAGCACCAAAAAGGACTGCTGTGGTTTAACCCTAGCTGTCAACTAAGCACGATGCAGCCACTTGCTCACACCCACCTTGCCTGAATCCAAAAAAAAAAAAATCAACTTCATGGATTGAGATAATAGCAGTTTAATAATTAAAAAAATTAAATATTATTATTACAATAGTATCAGCTGTAATTAAAAGGAGAGAAAGAGAAAAATAAACCCCAAGAGAAACAAGTGCCCATCACCTGCTGAGTGATGCCCATCCCATCCCTGGTTGGTCATATTCACTGGTTGGTCATGTTTCTAATAAAATGTTCATGAAAATACATGTTCTGGAAATGTAATGAGGTTTACTAGGACTGAACTGGATTCTACTATTTGTGTTTTAGAAAGAAGAGAGACATTTACTTTCTGCACCTTTTCACATCACTTTGGACAAAACCCTTTTTCCTCTGAAGTTTGAAGTTGCGAGTTTTTGAAATCAGAGTCAAACTAAAGACTTCTACAAATGAAATACCTGTAGTAAACTACCTTCATGTAAGACATCTTGCCAGTTCAGCTATCTCTGTAATTCTGAACTTAGATTAATGCTTCCTAGCCCTGGAGTTATTGTTGTTTAGGACTTGCTCTCTGACAATCAGGTCAGAAAATGCTTTTTATGATAAGGTTCAGAAGAAGTTTTACATTGGTACATTAACAAATAATATGATAGATAATTGATGGCTTCCATAGAAGTGTTTCTTTTAACAAGGAGACCAGATTTGTACAGTGCATGAACAAAAAAGGCAATTTACTGCTACAGAAAAGAGATTCCTTGACAGTTTTTGCAATGACAGTTTGAGACAACGATGTTGGCACATTGTTGCCAGATGGAAGATTCATTTTACTGGCCTCTTAATTAACAACTGGTAAACGGTTGCACCCAAATACACATATTTACATATGCA